GTGAGTCTCTACTTGGAGCTCAGAGGCCGCGCTGTAAACCTGTCTGTAGCTGGTCTCTCTACAAGCTATTCCCCAAAAAGTCCCCGACGTGCAAAGCGCTCAAGTTTCTCTTGGACCATCCAAGACGATGCTTCATCACCCTATTCCCAGCGCACCAGACGTGGCTCCTTCTCTTTGTCTTATTCCTCATGAAGTGCGCATCTTTTGCTGGACGTCGTATGCGCGCTGACGCATCATCTCACAGCATGGTGCTGTTTGTCGGAGATCTGGTCCTTAATATCGACAATCCCGCGACGGACGCAATCCCGGTCGGAACGAGAATTGCGCTCGCGGTGTTGTCTTCCGGGGCAGTGCGCAGTGCCGGCTTCCAAGCAGTCGCGGTTTCATCGCTGACACCGGCGACCCAGTAAGCGTGCTTCTGTCTGTCCCGCGAGCGAGCTATGCTGACTGATGGCCCAGAGTCTTGTACGTTATCATGATGTATATTGCTATTTACCCCATTGCCATGAGGTGCGTGTGCTCCCTAAGCAAATCTGTCCGCACTGCTTACGCTCATCAGTGTGCGCTCCACGAATGTGTACGAAGAGAATTCACTTGGAGTCTATCCCGATGACGACGACGACGACGACGACGACGACAAATTTAACGAGAAGACGTTAAAGGCGAAGGAGAAACGCGTGCAAATCTGGGGACGCCACCTCGTGCGCCACGTGCAGAAACAGCTGTCATTCGGTATGCCGTTGTCATTGCGATTGTCCTCCATCTCACGGAATACGCAGATATATGGTGGCTTGCGCTGTCATTGTGGCTAATCTGCATTGTGGAGGCATGTGCTGCAGTATCATGTCGGAGGTGCTATTGCTAAAGCCATCATCTAGCGCAACGGAATCATGGACCCGTCGAAGCCCTGGTTCAACGTATTTGCAATCTGTATGATTCTACTTCTTTAAAAGACCGACCGCATGCTCATTTATGCTAGTATTTGAGATTGTCTCCGGTTATGGGACCGTGGGCCTCAGTTTGGGCATTCCTACAGTACGTCTCCCTCTTCTGAGGCCGTCTTGCTCACTCATACGACGACCCAGGCGAACTACTCACTCTCGGGAGTCTTTCACATCCTCTCCAAACTGATCATCTGTGCTGTGATGCTGCGCGGACGGCACCGCGGCCTACCCGTTGCACTCGATCGTGCGGTTATGCTCCCACACGAGTTCAAGAGGCGATACGAAGATAGTGAGGCTGCTCAGGCCCAAGCGGCGTCGCCCCACCAGATAGTGGGCCATCTGCCTGAAGAATCTGTCGGGGCGGGGGCAATGGGGCACAAAGCTGACGGTAGTTCAGCGGAAGATTCGGAAAAGACTGTTGTATGAGACGCTATTGCGCCGCCTGGCTGTATTCAGACATTTGGGCTAGTGTGGAACAAGAGGTATCACACCTGTACACCTATCCGTGGTGACGAGCAACCTAATGTAACAACGTGCTGTGTTAGGTTTATTCATAAGCCTAGCTAAATACACCTGAACTGTCACAGCAGTTCAAAGCAAATACCCAGGGCGAAATGTGGCAAACAGCTGCGAGTCCGCCTTTGTCCTTTTAGCGCGTAGTGACCTTCCTTGGTCTTCCGGTTACTGTTACAGGCCTCTCCGATGGCTAAGGCGACATCCATTACAGGTTCATTCTACACACCAATTTTGTAGGCAACCCGCTCACGATTTGGGCACCCTCCGCTTCACTCTTCGGGTGATCACATGGTACCGTCAATTATTCGCCGATAACGCGTGCATGTAGCTTGTGCGCTTGGCAGAAGCTGTCGATATCGGGGGTCAGCTGTACGTGTCTTGTGGTCACACTCGAATTCTTATTCTCTGCTATACACCATCAAACTTCTGACGGCCCGTATATATAGATATGTGTGCACAACGCCAGTGCTATCCACCACTTGGCAAGATGCGTCCGCTGCAGCAGGAGGCAAGCAAAGCTTTTGCGCTCATCGCGCTGGCCATCTCCTTCGTCGTCCCTGTCACTGCACTATGGCCTATCCCTAGGCAGCTGGAGACAGGCTCGACCCCACTCGTCCTTGCGAGCGACTTCAAGATCGACAATCTCGACAGCCCACCGTCGGACCTTGGCGCCGCCGTAGCGCGCACCCTGGATCATTTAAGTACTGACAAGCTCGAACGGCTCGTCGTCGGTCGTGCATCTGCAGACAAGGCTGCCGTGCAGGACGCGAAGGCGCTCCCGTCGCTGGTGCTCGCCGTGCCGCAAGGCGCGAAGGTGAACAGCATCGCCGACGAGGCGATTATGCCCCTTGGGTCGCGCAGCGAGGAGTACACGCTGACCATCCCGTCAGACGGGTCTCCTGCAACGTTGACTGCGAACTCAACGCTCGGACTGTTCAGAGGACTCACGACCTTTGAGCAGTTCTGGTACGACTTGGATGGAGCCGCGACATATACGCTCGAGGCCCCTGTTTCTATCACTGATTTTCCAGCATTTGTACGTAAAAATCACGTCTTTTGGGGGAATTGAGGTCTTGATCCCCCTTTTCGAAGCCATACCGTGGCCTAATGCTTGACACTGCTCGTAACTTGTGAGACTTCTGAGCTTTCATGTAGTCTCGTTCATTGACAAGCGCTGCAGCTTCTCTGTCTCGGACATCAAACGTACCCTGGATGCCATGAGCTGGGCCAAGGTACAGCTTTGCGCGACATGTCTAGCGAATTAGGTGACTGACAGCTGCTCTAGATCAATCAGTTTCACTGGCACATCACAGACAGCCAGAGTTTCCCCGTACAGATTCCTGGGTTCACCGAAGTGGCGGATAAAGGAGCCTACTCGTCTTCCATGATATACTCGCCTTCTGACGTTCAAGACATCGTGACATACGCGGCCCAGGTAACATCTAGTCTTTTCAGTACTTCGAATAGCGTAAGCTAATTTCTTGATTGCCAGCGGGGAATAGACGTCTTACCCGTACGTGGAACGCCGACTCTCACACTTATCCTTGGGTTGACAGGGAGTCTCAGGAAATCGATACCCCGGGACATACTAGCATCATCGCCGAATCTCATCCCGAGTATGTAGCATGCTTCGTCTCGTCACCATGGTCGGAATATGCCGGCGGTGCGCTCATCCCTCCTACACATCCTCCTATCATACTAACCTTCAGACATACAGAGCCGCCCTCCGGCCAGCTCCGCTTCGCCTCTCCCGCGACCCGCAACTTCACGGCCGAACTACTCGCCTCGACGGCCACGATGTTCCCGTCGTCGCTCTTCAGCACGGGCGGCGACGAGCTCAACGTTCCGTGCTACACCGCGGACAACGAGACGCAGGCGATTCTGAACGCGACGGGCGAGACGCTCTACCAGGCTCTGGACACGTTCACGCAATCGACGCACGGTGCGCTGCGCGGCATCGGCAAGACGCCTGTCGTGTGGGAGGAGATGGTACTCGACTACAACACCACGCTCGGGAACGACACGGTCGTTATGGTCTGGATATCCTCGGCCAATGCCGCAGCGGTAGCGGAGAAGAACTTCAAAATCGTACATGGCCCGTCGGATTACTTCTACCTTGTAAGTGCGATCGTTGATTGCCACGATGTAAACGTGTTTGTAACTTTCCTCCCCTTGTCTAGGACTGCGGAGCTGGTGAATGGATAGGTGATGATCCCTCAGGGTAGGTCCCACGTCTGTTCACGTTTTCGGAGGATTAGACTGACAAGTCTCTGAGCACAGGAACAGCTGGTGCGATCCATTCAAGACATGGCAAAAGGTGCGTGTGTACTCAAGATCCTCGGTAGTATTTCTATTCACATAGGCCGACAACATAGTCGTACACCTTCGATCCGTACGCAAACATCTCAGAGTCGATGCAACATCTCGTCCTAGGCGGTACGCAGCACACCCCACTCCTCGCGACTCTGACATTGAACCAAGTCTCACAGGCCAGCAGCTCCTCTGGACCGAACAATCATCGCCGGAGAACATGGACTCGATCATCTGGCCGCGTGCCGCGTCGTCTGCCGAGGTCTTCTGGACAGGCGCGACCCTCCCAGACGGCTCACCGCGCAACGGCTCGTCCGCACTGCCGCGTCTGCACGACTTCCGCTTCCGTATGGTCCAGCGCGGCGTGCGCGCCATACCTCTGCAGCCGCTCTGGTGCGCCTTGCGCCCGGGGCTGTGCAACCTCGACTCTTAGTCTACCGAGATATGACATTTGGTCCGGAAGATTTCATTGCAAAAATCTATGTCATATGTGTTTGTAAATGTTTGTGTGATAGTGGTATGTGCATGTGGGAGGCTAGAGGGAATCCCAAAGACAGGGTTTGCGAGCCAGAGCCAGAGAAAGTCAGAGAGCTGTTGAACAACACACGCCAGTTTGCTTGGACATCTATAGGTATCTTCAGGGCTTGCCTCAATGTCCGGTGTGTACAAGTAATACGGGAGGTGAGGTAGATTAGCAAGTGCAGCGAGCGGAGAGCGGAAAGAGCGACAGTGCTGACGACGAGACGAGACGACGATTGAGATGACAAGAGGCCGAAAGATTGAAGATCAGTGCGTTGTGCGAGACCGGTGGTAAACGAATGCGAATGCTGGTAGTGGGCTGCGCGACGGTATGAGTGCGCAGCTGTCGAGAGCGCCGACGAGGTGCTATCGTGGAGCGAAGATTGCGACGAGGACAATGAAGGGGATGTATGTGAAGAGTGAGATCGCAGACATGATGCGGCAGCGCAGTCGCCAAGACCTCGCGTCTGCGGTGAAACATAAATACACCCGGCAACCACCTTACATGAGAGGGGACATACCGTGCTCTACCTGCGGATCATCAAGCGTCACTCCTTTCTCCGTGTCCGTGTACCCGACGCGGCGCGTCTCTGGGATGGGCAGGAACGAGGCAATCCACCAGATTGGGAAGAGCACGAAGCCAACAAAGAATGTCCAAGCATGCAGAGGCGAACCCTCTTCATCGGCTGAGCGGAGACGTGGTATCCATGGCGTCTGACGAATCCTTGGGGGTCGACGGGGGTCCCGCATATGGTACACGCTCGAACGGTCAAGCGAAGGAGGGTGCGGCGCTACGACAGCGGTGACAGGAATAGACGTCTGCGATAGAGTGCGTCGAGAACCCCGACGTGAATCCGCCGCAGAGGGCGCTAATGAAGAGACAATGGACTGCCGCAGCGACCGGGTCGAGCCATCATGGGTGGACCCTGCGCGCGAGAGTGCACGGACCGCAGGTGAGACAGGGAAATTCGTTCGGTCTGCGATGGACCCCATGTTGGGCGCGTTGTGTGCTGAGCTCGGACGCGAGTGTCCTGGGGTGTGGGCTGGCGAAGGAGTAGATGATAATCGGACACGTTTACGCTGCTGATATGCCGAAGGCGAACCGGACTCTTCAGACACGAGACGAGCACCTACCAGCAAACCGTCTTCAGGGTAGCCCTGTGAAGCACGAGCAATGCAAACTCACGTCTTTTATCAATTGGTATGAGGAAAGTGGTATGCTGCTGCCTCTGGTCCAGTGGCGTTATGTCGATATCCTCCGCTTTCCGCTTCCCTTTGTTGTTCGTCGGGGTTTCCATGACGCTAGGCAGGACAGGTTCGCTGGATTGTCGTACCGGATGCCGTCCGGATGATCGTCTTGGAGGCGTGGACGGGGCATTCTGCTGCTGCGACGGACCGTCGTCCTGGCTCTGGGTGCCTGTATATGAATGACGCAGGATGCTCTTACGAGGGGTCCGGGGCCCTGGAGGCCTAGGCAATGCCACACTCTGAAGTTCACGATCTACACCCTCCTCCAACGTGCTCAGTTCCCCTGCACTCATCCCTCTCTTGACCTCTACCACGCCTGCAGGCTTCTGTGATGGCGAATTACCTCCGTTGGGAGGTGTCGACGGCCGCTCGTCTCCGCCCTCGGCTGCAGCTACGACAGCCTACGTCAGGAAAGGGAATTATAAGTTTGGGGAGATGGCTCACTCTCTGGAGGTGTGGGCTCAGAGTGGGGGCTGAGAAGCGGAGAACAATGGCCCCCTGGCTCGCCTGAGCCAGCAGGCACGTTTTGCACACGATGTATGATGTCGGGTTTGGGACCTTCGGGAGACGCCGCAGCGGTCTTTATACCTCGGGGTTTGCCGATGGTCTCATCACCCAGTGACATGCGCAGGATCTCGTTCGACACTTCCGCCGGCCAGCCAAAGTCGCGGCCAGGGTTGGACGCGAGGACGCCTGATGTCGCCTGCTTAGCGTTCCATTCGGCGCTGAAGCGTCTCGATGGTGATGATTTGTAGCTCTTGCCGCGCTTGTGACGTTCTGACTGGAACAGCTGGCGAACTTTGGGTAAACTCGCATACGCCCGAAGAGATCGTCGCGAAGTTGCCGAAGGAAAAGGCACAGAGTTCTCATCAGGAGAGGTACCTTCAGTCTTCCGGCGGCGACGCGGTGGATATGTCTTTGGATACAAATCTGAGTCGTAATGACGAAGAGGCGGACTCGCGGTATTAGACAGGTTGCGGAAGACAGGTTGTGAACGCGAAGCCATACAGGCTACGAGCTCGGGATGATCAAGCGGGGGCATAGGTGGTCGAGGTGACGCAGAAACGGAAGTGGATGGGGATGGAGTAAAAGCAGAAAGAAGCGGAGGCGATGTCTGTCCAAAAGTTCGAGGAGAGCTGGAAGGCATATCAATAAGAGGTGTATGTACAGCAGGAGCCGAAGAATGACTGGAAAGAGACGATGCGATTGTTGGTGAGCGTTTCGTAGAGTCCTGTCGTGATGATATCGTGGCCGGTGAGGGCGAGCGTTGGTCAGTCTGTTCGTCGGCCTGTTCGTCGGCCTGTTCGTCGAGGGTGCTGACTCGTGAGGTTGACCTCCTGTAAAAAGACGACGAGAGCGGAGCGGCCTGCAGTGGCATAGATGACTCCGACGTGTAGGAGGGTCGACCATCAGAGACAACCGAAGAACGAATGGTCCTTGTCCCTGCAGGTCCACTGAGATCAGATCTGCGAGGTACGCCGAGCGTGTCGACACTTCCGAACGTCATTCCCGTCCATGTTGAATCTCGTTCAGCCCGTGATGAGCGCGGTGAGACACCTGCATTATGACGCCCAAAGGTAGACCATACACTGGACGTCGCCAGGCGCCGGGAGAAGCGCGAGAAGTTGGTCTTACTCTCACGGAGAGAGGAGCATTCGGAGTGAGCAGTAGGGGAGCTAGAGCGCGACAGTTCGTGCTGCGGCAGAGCAGAAGGACCTAGATCTATTGGGCTGATTGGGCTAGGGCTTGAAGAGCTTCGTCGTCGAATGGGTGGTGGGCTGAGGCCTTGTTCGCTTAGGTCTACAGCCGAGAAACTGTCCATGAGCTGCTGTATTTCGGGAAGGATTCTCTGGCCCACGGGAGTGTGTTCTAGCACAGTTTGAGAGGCTGAGAAAACTGGAAAGGATGCGGGCGTGTGTGGCCTCGAAGCAACAGCATCGTCAGACTCAGTAGTAGCGGTAGTGGCTTGACTAACGGCCCTGCCTCTGAGACGAGCGACCAGGGAGTGCATGTCGGCGGAGCGCTTGCACTCGGCGATGGACTACGCGCATGTAATGACTCGTTTAACATTACATAAGGAGACAGCAAAGCTGCACGCACCTGAATCTGCCTTTAGCGCGCTGAATTGTCGTGCAGTGACCAGAGGACCCTGGAACGTCCTACGGTTCCGAGACACAATAGAGCACTGCCTGAGTGCTGCTGGTTCACTTTCGTAGCACCGTAACGAGTCGTGAGTATCGTAAGTAGATCGTCTTACAGTCCGACGTCGCCCACGTCGTCCTCGGCGTGTCTCAGTCAAGTCTCAGTACGACGACGAAACGTGGACGTTGGAAGCCAAGGTATACGCGGTTCTAAGCAGCTGAACTCGATGTCCCAAATCTGGACGATTCCCGGTAAAATCTCCGTTCGACAGAATCCTCTTAGCCCTAAGTTAGGGGCACGTTACGGCACGCCCATCACATGTCGGCCGAGCCGTCACGCCCTCCGTCGCGTCACGGCGCCGCACTGCTTGTCGTCGTCATTCACGTTCCCCAGCCCACTCGACCGCCATGGATCGCCTCGAGTCTCTCGGAAACACGCTTTCTAACCTCACGATGTACGATATCAAGAGTATGTACAACCAGGTACGAAAGTATATCTCAAGATGGCGAGAAATGCTCTCATACGCGCGCAGGCGAAGAACGTGGTGCTCAACGTCAGTGAGATGGAGGCAAAGGTTCGAGAGGCGACGAATGACGAGCCTTGGTAAGTGCCTTTTACGATAGTCTCTGTACAATACTCATAAAGCGCACCAGGGGTGCGAGTTCTACGTTGATGCAGGAGATTGCCCAAGGGTATGTTCTTATTGCTTCGCGTCAGTATTCTCCCTCTCATTTCCGGGGGGTTCGTGCGCAGCACGTTCAACTTGTGAGAATAATTCATCGATCCACTTGGCGCATTATGCTCACTGTTTGCAGCCAAAATTTCAACGAGATTATGCCGTGTATCTACGCTCGTTTTATGGAGAAGGAAGCAAAGCAATGGCGACAGATCTACAAGGTTTGTCTTTGTCTTACCCCGCCTGGAGATATGCCTGATTGCTGTGTTTCAGGCTTTGCAACTGCTTGAGTACCTTGTCAAGAACGGCAGTGAGCGGGTCGTTGATGACGCGCGTTCACATATCGCGACGATCAAGATGCTCCGTAATTTCTATTACATAGACGAGAAAGGAAAGGATCAAGGGTTGAACGGTATGTTTGTTCCTTGTTGCATATACATCCCAGCCTCATATGTACCCCGTAGTTCGTAACCGCTCGAAGGAACTTGTCGATCTACTCAGTGACGTCGATAAAATCCGCGCGGAGCGCCGCAAGGCAAAGTCCAACAAGAACAAATACACCGGCGTTGGCAACGATGCTCTCGGCCTCACATCTGGCGGAAGTCGCTATGGCGGGTTCGGTAGTGAGGGCATGGGATCAGGCAACGGATGGGGCGGAGGAAGCAGCAGTTACGGCGGAGATTACAGCAGCCGAGGTCCGTATATGCGCTTTCTCAAACGTACTCCGTTCTCATGCGTGATCGTAGACTACAACGATTACTCCTCCGGTGGTGGTAGCGGCGGATTCAGAGATTCCTCTTCCAGGAAGACATACGATGAATATGAAGCTGGCGACGATGACGTTGTAGCTGCACGTCGTTCCAACTCGATTGGTGGTTCCACGTCTTCTTCTACACCGCGGAGAAGGGAAACTGGAACTCCTGCTACCCCTGCGACCCCTACTGCGGCCGCGAAGTTTAAAGCGCCCGTGCCAGATTTGCTCGGTTTGGATGATGACTTCTCTGCTCCTGTGACTGCGCCTCCGCCCGCTGCCAACAAGGCCCTGCCTACTGTCGCTCCTGCTTCCGATCGTGAGCCTCTCCTTTATCCTATAACGGCTCTTTACTGACGAATCTACTTTAGTTGTTGATGACGACTTTGACGACTTCCAAGCGGCGCCTCCTTCAGCTGGACCTGCCACCAGCAACCTTGCGTTCCTCGGCTCTGCACCCATTGCTCCGGCCGCGGCTCCTCCGAAGGCTACTTCTCCACCTCTCGTCCAGCAGACACCCCTTACACCCCAACCTAACGCTAGCTTATTCAACATGCTGTCTTCCACGACCACCGCTTCACCGCCACCGCTTCAAGCCAACAGGGCTCCGTCTTATATGGGCTCAGGTATGGGTTCCGCCATGACACCCACTGCCGTCCCCAACTACACCTCGCCTATCATGACCCCGAACGCGCCGGCGCGCCAAGGCTCATTCGGCGGTGCCTCCACTACATCCACAACACAAGCGGCCAAGCCCGCGTCTTCTGGTGGCTTTGACGACCTGTGGACGATGTCGCTGGGTTCTGCTGCCAGCAAGCCGCAGCAGTCTTCCACGCCAGCCAAGTCTATCCAAGACATACAAAAGGAGAAGACGCAGACCGCCATGTGGGGGTCGGGCCAGCAGGCGAGGCCACCCATGGGTGCTGGCTTCGGCTCGTTCGGTGGTGCCCCCGCTGGTGCATCGTCGACGCCGAGTGCTGCCCCGCCTTCGTCATCCGGCAATGGCATCGATGACTTGCTGTTCTAGAACATCGGACTAGTTGCTCCGTCTATCTCACGCCCACACAACAGCGCCGCTCCGTTTCCGTCTTTGTTTGTGTCGCTTTATTGCAGTTCCTGAATACATGGAGGTCAATACGGTTATACACCATACACGGACTTGTGATACGGTCGCAAGACCCGATAGGCAGTGCGCGGCTAGGGGTTAGTGCTCTAGCGACGTTGCTAACACGCGGTTCGCGATGATCTAGCATTAACCTGCGGTCTCGGCCGCTCTTATTATGCCGCTACGCGACTGTCCAATCAGCGTAGTCCACCGTCTCCGCCACAGGTTTCGCTTGTAGTATGTATGGGCGCTTATTCCAATCGGCGTCGGGCTGAGGTCTCAATATAACTGATAGCGAGCGCTGCGCAGCAGTCGTGCAGCACAGAGCAGCGTGGTCGCTCGACCTGACCGCCATGTGTACAGATACAGCGGGTGCAATTACCAAAAAGTTTGGACGATATTGTGCCGTAGGGTGCTATTGCCGTCGACGGCCATGACTGCCCCTGGAAGCCCCGCCCCGATCAACGAATAGGCGTTCCTCGGTCACATGGCCCTGCATCATCCCACTATCTCAGGTGCTCATGAACAGCACGCGATACGCGAGGCATTACATTTTGCAGGGTTGGTGTTTTGATGGGAGCAGTCTTCGAGAGAAGTACAAGAAGGCGGGCGTGCCGTGTAGTCAAGCTTTGCCCCGCACCCGAGGTTGAAGCGGCTGCACATCAACTTGTTGCGCGGTGCTCATCATGTTCTCCAAGGCCGGACTCGTGCTCTTCACGACTCTGCTCGCTGCGTTCGCTCCCGCTGATGCCCTCTGGCCGCTACCCCGCAGCCTGCAGCAGGGCTCAACGGCCTTGACGCTCTCCTGCAGCTTCAACATTACCATCGATGGGACGATCCCTAATGCGCCAGCGGACCTGCAGCAGGCCGTCACCCGGACGATGGGCTACCTCCAGAACGACAAACTCGGCCGGCTTGTCGTCGGGCGCGGTTCGGTTGACGTTGACGCGTACACGAATGCCTCGTCGCTCTCGACGCTCACGTTGACGCTCGGGCAAGGCGCTGTTGTGAACTCCATCGCGACCGAGGCGCAGAAGGCCCCTGAGGCGCGCGACGAGGCGTACACGCTCACGGTACCCAGCGACGGCTCGGGCGCAACGCTGTCTGCGAACTCGACCCTTGGGTTGACCCATGGCTTAACGACGTTCACGCAGCTGTTCTTCTATCACAACGCAACGACCTACATGTTAAACGCACCTATCCAAATTGACGACTCGCCCGCATACGTAAGTTCTTCGAAATAAGCTTCCGAGGTTCCCTGAACCTGATCTCGTGCCGGTAGCCGTACCGAGGCTTCATGCTCGACACCGCGAGGAACTTGTGAGCATGACCATTGACCAAATGATCAGCTGGATGCTAATGTGTCCCCCAGCTTCCCTGTCCAGGATGTCAAGCGCATGCTTGATGCGATGAGCTGGGTTAAGGTTCGTGCTATCTGCTTGGCTGCACTATCAACGTGTCTTGAGTAGGCCCGACAGCAAAACATGTTCCATTGGCACATAGTGGATAGCCAGAGCTTCCCTTTCGAAGTGCCAGGATACACGGAGCTCGCCCAGAAAGGCGCCTACGACCCGGAATCAGTATACAGTGCACAGGATGTCGCCGACGTCATATCGCATGCGGGTGCTGTGAGTATCTCTCAGTCCTACGTGATGCCGTTCCTCGCTTACAATAAGTCTCCGCGTAGCGCGGCATTGATGTCATGCTCGAGATTGACACTCCGGGACACACGGCTGCCATTGCTCAAGCATTCCCCGAGCACATTGCATGCGCTTATATGACACCCTGGGCAACTTTCGCGAACGAGCCTCCGGCCGGACAGCTCCGCATTGCGTCGAACGCGACCATGAACTTCACCGCCGGTCTGCTTGCGGCGGCAGCGGAGCTTTCTCCATCGACGCTCTTCAGCACCGGGGGCGACGAGATCAACATGCCCTGCTACGCTGCAGACGAGCCGACGCAGGCTGCCCTGAATGCGACGAACCAGACTTTCGAGCAGGCTCTCAATACCTTCACGCAGGCGACGCACAGCGCGATTATGGCTAAGGGCAAGACGCCCGTCGTTTGGGAAGAGATGGTGCTTTCGTTCAATCTCACCCTTTCCAACGACACTATTGTCTTGTGAGTTGGCATACTGAACAGCGGTGAAATGTGACTGAGGCTGTCGTCAGTGTCTGGATCTCTTCCGAAGACGCCGCAGCTGTCGCCCAGCAAGGCTTTAGGATCGTTCATGCGCCGTCCAACTACTTCTACCTTGTGAGCCAAGCCTCCCTTGTGCTTCCACGCCTCAATCTGACATGGACATAGGACTGCGGCGCCGGAGGCTGGGTCGGCGCCAACCCGTCGGGCAACTCGTGGTGCGACCCCTTCAAGACCTGGCAGTTTGCGTACTCGTTCGACCCTCTCGCGAACCTCACCGACGCCCAGGCGCCGCTCGTTTTGGGCGGCGAGCAGCTCCTCTGGACCGAGCAGTCCGGCCCGCAGAACCTGGACTCCATCGTCTGGCCACGCGCCGGGGCGTCCGCTGAGGTCTTCTGGACCGGCCCCGGCGGGAACATCTCGGAGGCCCTGCCGCGGCTGCACGAGGTCAGTTATCGCATGCGCCAGCGCGGCATCAACACGATCAATCTCCAGCCCAAGTGGTGCGCTCTGCGTCCAGGTGTATGTGACTTGACAGCCTAGGCTGGAGAGCTGTAGTTTCGTTCTGGAGACATTGGACTTTTCAGGGGACAGTCGGTTGTAACCTCACCAGATTGCTTCGTGCGGCTTCTTCCACAAAAAATTGGAGCAGATTTTTGAACAGTGATTGTCCTGCGAAAGTTATTCTCACCACGGTTTCGCGACCAGTGGACATGAACGAGAACGCAGCGCTCAGCGCCAGGCATGTATAGAGCTTGTACAAGCTATTTCACCGTTGCGCCACAAATTATTAGCTAAGAGATGGAAATGCTGGCTATATATCCAAGATCATGAGTGACGAA